TTCTTCCTAGCTGTTGGTGTTAATGTTCCAGGAGTACACCGCACGGCGTGGTGAGGCCGGGCCAATTCACTTGCTTGTTTCTGTCGTAGCAGAAATGCTTTCAGTTTCTCCACATTCCACATGATTCGGGATGCATCTTTGTCACCTATAGATCATGTTCTGGTCCAGTCATGCTCCATGTTCAGTTTTGTTTTTAATGAGCAAAATATGCTACACTGTATGAAATTCCTTTTCTGTCTCTATTGATACAATCCTATGATTTGTATCATTCATTCTATTCATGTGGTATGTTACAATTATTGATTTTGTGTATACTGAACCATCCTTCTATGTCTGCAATGAAACCAACTTGATCATGGAGTATGACATTTTTGATGTACTACTGAATTTGATATGCAAGTATTTTGTTGACAATTTTTACATCTATGCTCATTAGTCTGATTTTTTATTTTGTTCCTTTCAAATTTGGCCAACAGAGAAAAGCGGGCCTTGTAAAATAACTTTGGAGGGTCTCCTTGCCTATGGAGTAGTATGAGAAGCATTGTTTTAAATTCTTCAAAAGTTTGGTGAACTCAGAGTGAAGCCATGCCGTCCTCACACTTTGTCGGGTGGTATTTCATCACTGATTTGATCCTCTTCCTTGTTATTGATATCTTCGGATTTTTATAACCTTTCAGTTAAATTTTGGTAAGTTATATGTGTCCAGAAATGTTTCTATTTCTTCTGGAGTTTTTAGTTATTAGTTTTTCAAAATAATCCCTGTTGGACCTTTGAATTTCTGTAATATCAGTCTTTCACCTTTATTTATTTGGTTTTATTTCCCTTTCTCTTCCTCCTGTTTTTCTCCTCCACCTCCTTCTCCTCCTCCTCCTCTTCCTCCTCCTTCTCTCTCTCTCTCTCTCTCTCATTAAAAACTGTTCAGTTAGTGTAGCTAAACATGTTTCAGTTTTGCTTATATTCTCAAAGAATTAATTCTTTATTTCACTGATCTTGTTTATTATTCTTTTTAAATTCTTGTATACTCCCACTTTGATCTCTATTTTTCTTTCTACTGATTTCATATATACATGTTTTTGCTTTTTGAACACTCTGAGATGCGTACTTTAAATCCTTCCCTTTTATCAAATGTAAACACTCACTGCTATAAGTCTTCTTTATAGGCATTTTGGTTCAGTATATTGTATTTTCAATTTAATCTATTTCAAGGAATTTTTAAAGTTTTTTTCTGATTTCTTCAATGATTCAATGTTCAAAAGTGTGTTACTTCTTCTCAATATATCATTAATAATTTCCAAGTTTTTCTGTGTTTATTTTTTATTTCATTACACTTTGATCAGAGAAGATACAGAGTAAGATTTCAAGTTTTTAAAATGTGTGAAGATATTTTGATCTAATTATATATGTTCTAGAGAAAATTCCATGTCCTCCTGAAAAGAATGTGTATTTGTTTGCAGCTATTAGATGTAATATTACATAAATGTATATTGATGCCATTCAATTCACAGTGTAGCTTAACACTGATGTTTCTTTGATGCCTTTTATCTGGATGTTCTAGCTATCAAGAAGAGTAAGGAAATCAACTATTATCATACTGGAGCTGTACCTGCATTTAGATCTAACAGTGTTTATTTTATGAAGTTGGATCCTCTATTGCTAGGTGTACATAGATTCATAATTGAATCTTCTTAATTAATTGATCTTCTCTTGTTAACAGTGACCGTTTTTTACTGTTACCATTTTGATTTAAGGTCTGTCTTGTCGGCTGTGTGTACTGTCTGCAGGTTTCCTTTGCTTGAGGATTTTCCCACTTTCTCTTCTAGACATGCATGTCCTTCCTAGTGGTGTGAGTTCCTTATTAGGTCTTGTTTTTTAATCCACTTGCTCTATATTTTTAACTGGAGAATTAAGACCATTTACATAAAAATTCATTAGTGAAAGGTATGGATCTATGCCTCTTATGGTGTTGATTTTTTTTCTAGCTCTTTCAAATATCCCTTGAATCTTTCCTACTCATCTTTGTGATGAGGGCTTATTGCACTGATAATGATTGGCTCTTTTCTATTTCTCATTTATCTATCCACCAAGCCCTGCAGAAATCACAGTGTGGTATTCACTGACCTAGTGTAGGAGAGTAGCTGTGGGCTTGTGGAGATGGAATTATGCAAGAGTCTGACCTCGAGTATTCTAAATTGAGACAGCGGGTCCTACCTCCAGAGGGCTGCTGGTCCGAGCCTTGGGGAGCTGCTGGGGTGCAGCGCAGATTTAAGTCCTCTTTGCTGTGTAGGCCACGTGCCTATCAGGGCTTTGAGAGCTTCCCGTGGACAGCGCCGTCAGCGCCTGTGTAGCAGAGCTTTTGGGGATTCTCTGCCGTTTGCCCCTGCAGAGTGGAAGCTGTCCGAAGTGGGCTGTGAAGGCTGCCGCATGCTGCTGGATTTTAGGGCGCTCCCTGTGCCGCTGTCCGAGGTCCTGGACTCTATCAGGTTCCCGTGTCTCCGCTGCTGGATTTGGCCACTCCCAGGCCCACTCACCTCAGGAGGCCGCTGTGCAGCTGCTGCCCTGTTTGGTGGAGCAGGTGAGTAAAGCTCGCCTCCAGCCAGCTGTTTGCCGCCCTGGATATTCCATTCCTCAGCAGGAACCTTGCTCCTTCTGCCTGGGCGTGGGTTTAGACACCAGCCTGGAGGAGACAGGAGGTCCACTGCTCCTAGCTACCCTCAAAAGACAGACACACGGACAGGCAGCGAATCAGGACTTCTTCCTGTCCCTACCACAGGAGCCAGCACCTCAGGATTTGCTCTTCATCTGTACTTCAACAAGAGGAATCTTATTGTTACCATCAAAACATGCTCATTGATTTGCTTAATCCCTAAACATGCATAGTGTCAGAATTTCAAACCCATACATCTCTGGAGGAAATAAGCATATTATGACAGTTATGCATAGATTTAGAGGAGTGGAAAGCTATTCTTCTAGATTATTCGTGTCTATCTTCGGTAGTGTGGTTTATTAATGCACTTTTCAGCTGTACTGTTAGTGTGGAGAGCATTCCTTTTCACCTTTACTGCTGGTAGCCTTCAGTTTATAGCACGTCTGATAATTGAATCGCTACCTCTGCTGCCTGGTGTTTCAGGCTCCCTGGCGTACTTTTGAGGGTCCATTAACCTTTTATCTACATAAGTCATCATTTAGATTAGCCTTTTGTGCACGATGTATAATTGAGTTGTGTTGTGAGTGAATTGAAATTCATTTCCCTCTTAATAAGCGACCTAAGTCCATCGATATATATTAGTAAGCCTTTTATGTTTGGTCCCATTCTGCCATAAAATTTTAAAATTGGATACTTTCTGTTGCAATGTTCTGCCATTTTGTGGCCACATTTTCTTTCATTTAATACATTTTGTAGGAATTTCAGTTTTGCTAAATACGACTTTGTTCTTCTGCCTTTCATTGTCTTCAGTTCTCAGTTCTTATTCCTGGACTTCCACTCCCTGCTCCGCCAGTTTTCGACAGTAAACTTTACTCTCATTGTTTATAAAAGCGTCCATCAGCACGCCGCAGGCTCCTCTTCACTGTCCTCCTCCCACAATGAAGGCTGTGATTTGTAGGACACCTGGAACTTGCCCATGTTTGTTTTGGCATTAAATTCCAATTGAATTCATTCCAGTGCTGGACCCCAGGCCTGCCCCTTTGCGTCCCTGGTTCAGGTGGAGCTCACGCTGGTTTCCCTGGGGAGGGCATCCTGCAGAGGATTCCTGACATTCCTGCACCTCCAAACTTTTTCTGTCTCCTTTCTACAGAAAGGATGCTTAGTGCAATATAAATCCTGAGTCCACGTTTACTGACTTTTTGAAAAGCTTCTTCTATCGTGACCTTGATTTAAATGTTACTTTTTAAAATGTCAGTCTAATTATATTTTCTTATAATTTTTTTATCCTTTTGAGCAAGTTGGATTTTTAATCTCTTTTTTAAAATGTAACAGTTTAAGAAAATTCTACAACCTAATCAATTTGAATAATCAATTTTTCCTGTTTCTTTTTCAGTTTTATAGCCAGGATTCATTCATACTTTCAAACACACTTGGGCTTACATTTTAAAGGCTAGTTTTATTGTTACTTTCAGCCGGTAGCTCTTCACGCCCTCTTAGCCTTTCTGGTCTTGCACACTGCCACTTTCCACCTGACTGTGTCAGTCACGCTGGACTCTTCCCACACCCCTCGCTGTGTCCTCACTGTTACTGTGGTGCACTCTGATAGCATCATTTCTGAAGAACTCGGGGCCTGTGTTAGGTCCTTCCCTGTCTTCCTAATACTTTCATTCTCCCCATTTTTCCTCTTCCACTCCTCTTTCTGTTCTCCTCTCTTCCTTTCCTCTCCTGCCTCCTCTATCTCCCCTTTGCTTCTCCTCCTCTGCCTGGCTTATTTTTTACCATAAACTTTTGGAGCAGAGCAGAGCAGAGACATGCTACATTGAGATACAATGGTTTCTCTTTTTTCTTCCATCTCTTATTTTAGTTATTTTTATGTTTGCACCTTCCACACTTTTGTGAATGATGTGGTATGTGTTGGTTTGTTTGTTTCTTCTTGTCCTATTGCATTTTAGAAGAAATATTGCAAAATGTAGGTCAGACTAGCTTCTATTATCTAACCTACCTGGAATTCTCCTCCCTAATCTATTCTTTGCACACAACCATGGCATCATCTTTCTTGGTGAAGAACGTGCATATGCATAGCATGAAGTATTTATCTTTTGAAGATATATATATATATATATCCTGGAAATCATTCCAAACAGTATAAACATATTTATACCACATAAAATTCACTATGTATGATGTTAATATTATCCATTTGATGAAAAATGAAAAGTGAAAACTACTAGAAGTAACGAAGGCTGCTCCACATCAGTGCAAGTTAATATCAGAATACAAACAATAGCAAAACTTAGGAGGAAAACTAACAAGTAGAATTAAAGCCTGCTACATGACCAAATAATAGAGCACAAACCTCTGAATCCATGCTGGGAGTGAGTGTACGGAGGCTTCTGAGGGGGCTGAAGGAGCCAGGTGGCCGCTGAGAGGTGAGATCAGTGCAGACTCAGGCCACCCCATCCCTAGCCCAGCTCAGGAAGAGCGTGGGGACTGCACAGCGACTTTCCACACTGAGCAAGAGCAGGCCTGTGGCTGCTGCTTGCTCCTCTCTGGCTCCCTGAGCAGCTGCAGGACTCTGTGCTCGCAAACGCCCACATCAACCTGCGAACACAGGGCTTTCACGCCTCCCTCTTCCACTCACACGTGCACTTATTTTTTGTCTTACTTTTCCCAAACAAATTTATCAAAACTTACTAGAGTATTTCTTTGCCCCCAAACTCACACAGACACAGATGCACTTAAACCTTAAGCAGAATCTTAAATATTCTCCTGTTTCCATGGTTTTCAGCCCAACATGCAGAGGGTCAGATCTCAATGTCCGAAGCGTGTTGGGCATCTTCGTGGAACTGGTTGATCTTCGGGCTCCTTTATTTCTGACCGCTGAGGCACTGTTCCTTTGTCTCTACTTACGTTCTTCCCTTCTTAAACTGCATGATTACTATCGTCTTTCCTGTTAAACTTGCTTCTTTTGAACTTTCACTTTTTATTTAAAATATGCCAAAGATTTTGATGTAAACTCCATTTTGATTACATGAGCCCCTTAAATAGTCACTGTGTATTATTTTTATCGATAAAACTATCAAGGAAAAACAATAGAGAACTATTAAGCTGTGAAGAAAGACACACTTGAAGAATTCTCAGTCAAATGGATGCAACTTGAAAAGATAATGTTAAATGAAATAAGTCAGACACACAGCTTAAATATCCCACGGTTTCTTTCATATAAGAGAAAATAAGTGTGATAGATACATAGATTATAGATAGATGATAGATAGATAGATAGATAGATAGATAGATAGATAGATAATAGAGATAGAGAAGGAACAAATGAAAGGAGGAGAGAAGAAAGATAAGATAAATAAAAGGAGAAGGGACAGGAGAGAGTACAGAGGACAGGTGAACAGGAAGAAAGCAGGGAGAGCTCCGTCAGCTGGACAGGAGCAGACAGAGGGAGGATGGGGAAAGGTGAGGAAAGGAAATGGAAAAGGGAAGCATTTAAGGGAAGTGGTGAGGCAAAAGGAGCCTTTCCAAGCCCGGGAGGAGACCAAGAGCTCGAAGGAGCTGGGAGGGAGCAGAGGGGCCTGGAGAGTTGGAATGGAGACACCCCGGGTACCCAGACGACTCCAGTGATAATTACCAGGCAGTGTGAACATGCATTACTAATAAAAAGGAAACAATCCGCATTCGCTTTAAGGCTGTTCCATTCCATTTGCTGCTAAAAATGAAAAAACAAAAAAACTATGAAAAGAGAATATGCCATGTCCCTTTTGGTCTGGCTTTGCATCGTGGTGTTGATGTGACTTTCAGCAGAGGGTCAGGGGCTCACATTCCTGAACAGCCTTCACAAAATGTGCACAGCAGTGTTTGGGGGAAATCTGATGTGACTGGACATGGGACAGACTCCACTCATGGCGTACGTCTGTGTGCACCATGTACATGGTCAGCATGGATCCAGTGTCCCATTAAGAACAGTGTCCTCTCCTCTAGCCACCTTGTCTGTTACCCAGGAAATGTCCTGCTGTGGTCTATGGGATGGGCTTGCTCCTGGCATGGACACTGTGTGGAGAACCTGCTCATTTTCGGTGACTGCCCTTCACGCATGGGGCACGGGGCATGGGACACGGGGCACGGTGCACAATCCATGGTGTCTTCTGCAGAGCCCGCTCCTGTCCTAGATGTGGTCACATCCACTCCTTCATTTGGTAAAACACTGGATGTGAGCAAAACGAGTGCATCTGACATCACAACTGCATGGAAGAATTGTGGAACTTATCTATACAGTTCAGAACTCACTGTGCAACCTAATTTATTCCGTTAATAATAATATGGGTCACATTCAGGGACCTGAGGAGAAGTCTGAAAGGCCAAGACTCCTGGTGTCAGCAGTGCCCTCTGTCTCTGCTCAGGACCGTCCCTTCCGTGACCAGAACAATGCTTGGTGATGCCATTCAGCCAGCCCTTGGTACACGGCGCCCTCTTATCAGTGCTCCTCATGCGATTCTTCAGTGCAGAAATAAGGTTTATGCAGCACTGCATGTTTTTCAAAAAGATATTTCAGTGAGATGCTGAGTAGAAAGAATACGGGAAAGGTGGAGATCCCTATATAAGTAATGTCCGCTTCAGTGCATAAACTTTAACGGCATTAACATCACATTTCAAACAATGATTTCATCATTGCACATCTGTGCCAAGGGCCCCTCATATTTACATATTAAATTATACCTACTCTGTCACCATTTTACTTTTTATACACAATCTTCTGTACCTCATAGGAGACAAAAACCCTACTTCACAACGTGAAGCATTAGCTACCAAAGCCTGACGAAACTTAATTTTACTTCTTTTCAAGTCGGTTACATCACTAAGCCACTCTCCCGCACTGTGAGATCCAACATTCACAATTCATGATGTCAGAAATAATTCTAATTCCATAGATGTCAGAAAACTTTTCTGAAAGCCCAAGAGTTTCATTAATACATGGTATTTTAGAATGAATAAAGATGACTATGTTTCAATAGGGTCCAGTCGGATTATATTTCTTCTAGTATAATTTATAAATTTTGATAAATATGAAAGATATATGCTTAATTGTATATACACTGTACCTATTGTACCCTATAAAAGAGTCATCACACATCTGAGTTACCGAATGTAAGTAAAGAACAGCTGTCTGTATTCACTTTGAACTCTGTCGATGCATATTTTCAGGAGTCTCATGCATGTTAGGCATACTGCACACCTTGTAGGTACGACAGAGGTTGAACACCAAGAAAGCCATTTCCCACAAGCATACAGAAGGTTTATTCCCAGAAAACAGGTCGTGTTTGGGAGTGATGGGGGGAACCAGTGGCACACCCGGCATGCACACACATGCTTTCATTTAAACCACAAGGACACAGCTCAAAGTCAGGGGACTTAGCAGAGTTCTCAGCGTGAGAGTGATTAAAATCCATGTCAGGACTTTCAACCACCAAGTCCGTACAGGTCCTAATAGCAGGGTAAACCATGCAAGAGTAACCTATTTTTAAGTACTTTATTTTTTATTAATAATTTCACAGTGACTTAAAGTTAGTGTAGAGAGAAATAAGTCCAGATATTTCAGTTACTAAACATATATCAGTGAAAGAAATTTTGGTAATTTTAAGAAAATTCAATGAGGGTATGTAGGCACAGAAAAGACAAATACCCACACATGTGTGTCTTATAGAGAGTAAGGAGCATCTTCAAATCATTCACCTTATTTTACAAAACAAAGATTGTGAATAAGGTGTGTCTCCCAGTGGAAACATTGCTGTGCAACAACTTTATTTTTTAATTTCTTTACTTTTTATTTTATTGAGTTTATTTATTTATTTTTGCCTGTTGAAACGCAGTTTCACTATACAATTCATGATCTTGAAGTCACTTTGTAGCTCAGGCTGGCCTCAAGCTTGCAACAATCCTTCTGCCTCAGCCTCCTGAGTGCTGGGATTACAAATGTGCACCACCACTCCTGGCTGATTTTATTTTAATATTTGACATGCAAAAATCAAACTCAAGTGAAGAATATTGTAACTGAAAATTCAGCTCTGCTTTGTCAATAAACAAGCATCTGTTTAAATGAATCTTTTAATTTTTCAACTAAAACAGACCATGAAATTCATTTATTTTTACTCTAGAAAACATATTTTATTTCAAGAGTGCACACAACATTTATACAAACACAAGCAATAATGACAAAAAAATGAAGCAATCTGTAGGTCTTCTCAAACTGATACTTAAATGCTCAACCAATAATGACAAATTAATTCAAAGATGGGATTGGCTTTGAAAATCAGCAAGTACTATTAAATTCCACTGTCTTTTTAATTGAAAGTTTACATACTTCTAAGTACTAATAACTTCATAGAAACTAAACTATAATATATTTTATAAGAAGTTCATTTGGTCCACATAGACAAAAATATACATCTCAACTATATGGTAATAATATCAGGGTATTAGGACTAATTATATTACATTAATTACAATATAATTAACTATATTATCTTATTTATTATGTAGCTTAGACTTCACCAATGAGTACTTCATACCATATAGTCTCCCTCAGTGTAAGAAATGGTAAGAGTAATAAGATTTTATGGTAATCATGATTCCCCATGACATTGCTTTGAAGCCTTATAATGTTTGCATTCATTAGTTGGAATGGTTTTATCCTGGCTTGTTTGATTTTATTATCTGTGATGGTATGAACAGCTATTTTGAAGAAAACAAGACATTATAATAGCCAGTGCTGATTTCATATCATCTTGCTTTGAAGTCCTACCATGCTTTTGTTCTTCTGTTCCCATTGGTTCTATCATGTTGTATCATGTGTGATGGTATAAACAAAATTTTTTGTGGACAATGAGAGAATATAGTAGCCGTTGTTCATTTTCTGTTATTTGGTTCTGAATGTCCTGTAATACTTTCATTCTCTTGAATGTTTTTATACTATTTTGTTATGTTTGATACTATTGTATATGAAGTTATGCTCAACTATTTCAAAGAAAGAGACATTATGGTGGCTACTGTTAATATCAGGTTGTCTTGTGGTGAAATACTGTGCTTTTTACATTGTTCTGATCTGCTTTGTTATGTCCTCTTTTGTGTTAATTTCTTTAAAATAAAAAAATAATTAAAAATCTTGATGAAATCATATAGTTTATCTCTATGGAAATATACCTACCGACAAACATTATTATGATAACTGAAAGCATGGAAGGAGAGTTTTGTATAATAAATCATAAAATGAAATTAATATAGACATTTATATAGACATTAGAGAAAACATTTTCTGCCCTTTATCTATTTATCAAAACTTTGGATAACACAAATATTCAGAAAGCAGCCCGAGACCTCCCCCTTTGCCACCAGGAGTACCACACCTGCTGCTGTGTGTTGTTACTCGGGTTAGGTGTGAAGTGCCAGCTGCTAACCCTTCCTCATACCCTGAGTTACTGGGGAACGGCTTCAGGTCTCCGTGCTTGACAGGCAGAGGGAAACCTCCCTTTCCCAATCCACATAAAAGCTGTGTCTTAA